AGAAGAAGAAGAAGAAGAAGAAGAAGAAGAAGAAGAAGAAGAAGAAGAAGAAGAAGAAGAAGAAGAAGAAGAAGAAGAAAAGGAGGAGGAGGAGGAGAAGGAGGAGGAGGAGAAGGAGGAGGAGGAAGAAGAAGAAGGAGGAGGAGGAAGAGGAAGAAGATGAGGAGGAGGAAGAAGAGGAAGAAGAAGAAGAAGAAGAAGAAGAAGAAGAAGAAGAAGAAGAAGAAGAAGAAGAAGAAGGGGAAGGGGAAGGAGAAGGGGAAGGGGAAGGGGTAGGGGAAGGGGAAGAAGAAGAGGAGGAGGAGGAGGAAAAGAAAAGAGAAGAGAAGAAAAGAAGAGGAAGCTATCAGTGCTGCCTTTCCTGCAGGTGATCCAGATGTGGACAAATCTCACCAGGGGTGCTTGACCATCCAAGTCAAGTCCTGGGGCAGCAAACACCATCTCACCCAGAGGAACACTCAAAAGCATCAGGTCAGAGGTTCACCTCGTCCTCTGGCCAACTCCAGCATGCCTTGAGATTAAGAAATGAAGTGCTTTTAAGCAGAGAAGTAGTCAAAGGCTTTAATAAAAACATATGAGTAGTAAACATCAGGCTAAGTCCATTCTTTTATTTTGGCTTCAACAATACATATTTTCTCACTGTTCTTTTTTTAAAAAAATTATTGTTTGTAGAGTTGATAAACAGAGGGGTTATAGTTACATGAATCAGGTAGTGAGTACAATTCTTTTTGAACCATGACTCCCCTCACTCTCTTCCAGTTTTTCCCTCCAGTTCCCACAAGATGTACAGTTCATTTCCCACATCATGTCTAGTGAGTACTGCTATTGTATTTGTTCACCCTTTGTTCCATTTTTTCTGTGCCCCCCCATTTACCCTCCCAAATACAACCAAACTAATAAGACAAAAGAAAAGGAAAATAAAAACAACAATTGCAACTTTAAGAAATCTCTTGTTTCCTTTTCTTGGAGTTCATTTTACAAAATATTATTTTATATGATCATATGCACATAGATATTGATAATGTCTAAGGGTAGGCAAAAAACCCACAATCTGATTGGAGATGTTTAAGAGTTTTTAAACAGTAGGCAATGTATATTTAAATCCTAAAGAGTGACATGTGACTGACTGAAAAGAGTAAAAGTATTTAAACTTACAAAAAATGAATGAATTTCTTTAAAGAAAGAAAATTTGAAGTAGAGAGGAAGGGAGGAGGAAAGGAAGGAAGAAAGAAAGGAAGGAAAGAAGGAAGGAAGGAAAGAAGGGAGGAAGGATGGAAGGAAGAGAAGGAGGGAGGAAGGGAGGGAGAGGTTAATGTTGAGCCAAGTGTGAGTGGCTCACATCTATAATCCTAACTATTCAAGTGGCTGAGGATCAAAGTTTGATGACAGTCCAGGCAGGAAAATCTGTGAGACTTATCTCCAATTAACTACCAAAAGGCCAGAAGTTGAGCTGCAAGTGGTAGAGTACCAATCTTGAATGAAAAGCTAAAGAACAGAGCCCAGGCCCTGAGTTCAAGTCTTAGTATTGGCACAATTTTTTGTCAGTCATGGTGCTTGAATTCTGGGCCTGGCGCAGTCCCTGAGGTCTTCAGCTCAAGGCAAGTGCTCTACCACTTGAGCCACAGCACCACTTCTGGGTTTCTGGTGGTTCATTGGAGATAAGAGTCTTTCCTGCGCTGGCTGGCTTTGAACCATGGTCCTCGGATCTTAGCCTCCTGAGTAGCTAGGATTACAGGCATGAGCCATCAGAGCCAAGACACAATATTTTTCAAGGATAAAAAAGGCTTAATACTAGTAGCTTGTTCTTCACTCCTATAATTAACAAATTTGGAGAAAAAAGATGATTCAGGAAACTTTAGGCTGAAATCACTTGAGCTTGTTAATTATCATCTCTAAGCTTCACGTTAAGCAAGATCAATTCAGTAGATCTGTAGAAAGACTTCCAAATCTGCATTTTTTCCTAACAACTTCAAGGGTAATTTCCCTCCAAGAACTACTTTCACATTTAATCAGCAATGTTTTCATAATCACCTTTTTCAAAATGATATTTTATTTCTCTTGAGACATCTCCTTTGGCTATGTGCGATTGGGAAATGTGTTACAAATCCACAAATATTTGGGAGATCTTCCAGTCATCATTCTGTTAGCGTTCCGTTGATTTCTGATTCAATTCCACTGTGGTCATTAACTAGGACATGATAAATTAAACAGGACTCTAGGCATTCACAACAGTGAGACCAAAGGAAAGGATCACAAAGGCACCATGCCTATGTACCTCTGACCATATAAAATAATATTTTTTGAAATGAACTCCAGGAAATGGAAACAAGAAGGGGTTTTTTTCTTTGTTGGTATTTTTATTTTCTTTTTGTCTCATTTGTGTGACTGTCTTTGGGATGGTAGGGGGGACACAGAAATGAAGAAAGAAAGGGTGAGCAAATACAGCAGGGGTACTCATTAAATGCTACATTGAAAATGAACTATATAATTGGGTGGGGGCAGGAGAGAAAAATTGGGAGAGAGCAAAGGAAAGAGTGACATTGTCCAAAAGGAAATGTACTCATTACCTGACTTATGTAACTGTGACCCCTCTGTACATCACCTTTATAATCACAATTTTAAAAGAACTAATATTATATGATTTCTGGTTTTTCAACTTGGTAAGATATATTCACAGGTCATACTGTGGTCTATTTTAGTAGATGTTTCATAGACGCTTAAGATATCTTGTATGCTGTTCTTGTTGGATGAGATCATCTGCCCATGTTTATTACATCCCACTGATTGAAGCTCTATTAGCTCACTCATTTTCTGTCTTCCAGACCTGTCTGTTACTGATAGTGTTGATGTCTCCAGGAATGACAATATAGTCATCTATTTCTCACTTATGGCTTTATCAGTTTTGGCTTTTGCATACTTCGATGCTTCCTTGTTAAATATATACATGTTAAAATGATTATTTCTTGAGGAATTGATTCCTTTATCATGTATACATGTAATGAGCCTCTTTCTCCATGATAATTTTCCTTGCTCAGAAGTCAATTCTATTGTGATGTAGATCATATTTGAAGAAACACTGCTGGATTTTCATTCAATGACTCTTGTAAAATAAATATATATCAAAATTAGCCAGGCACTGGTAGCTCATGCCTCTATCCTAGTTGCTCAGGAGGCTGAGATCTGAGAATCACAGTTTGAAGCCAGCCTGTGCAGGCAAGTCTGTGAGCCTCGTATCTCCCGTTACTCACAGAAAAAGACAGAACTGGCTCTGTGGTGCAAGTGGTAGAGTGCTAGTCTTGTGCAAAAGGAGCCCAGGGACAGCATCCAGGCTCAGAGTTCAAGCCCCAGGGCTGGAAAAAAATTATATAAAAATTAAAATAACACAAACTGAAGCCAGATTTTGGTGTCTCATATGTGTCATTCCAGGAAGATAAGACCTGAACATCTCAGTTCAAAGCCAGCCAGAGCAGAAAAGTCCATTACACCATTGCCTCTAGTTAATCAGGAAAAAACTAGAAGTGGAGGGGTGGCTCAAGTGGTAGAGCCCCAGATGAGAGAAAAAGCCAAATGAGAGAATGAGGCCCTGAGTTCAATCACAGTACTGTGTATGGGCACACACACACACACACACACACACACACACACACATTTTTTTAGAGTTCAGAGTACATCATATTGGTTAAAATCAAAATGTTTCCAAACCTACACTTCCTCTCTGCAGACTCCAAGAATCTATTTGCTTACCTCTTCCAGGTTTCTCCCTACAACTAGGAAAGAGCACACCAAATTGGATGGAGCCAACGAAGATAATCCAAGATCATGTGTCCAGCTCAAATTCCTCCGTGTAATCACATCTACAAATTCACTCTTGCCAAGTGAGGAATACATTCACAGGTTTTAGAGATTAAAATGTGAACACCTAAAGGAAGTAAAGCGCAGGTACCATGAGTGTCTGGCTGGTCTGCCCCGAAAATGTCAAATTCAAATCACTGTACCATCAAGGACAAGTGACTCTTCTTTTTTCCAGAATTTGTTTCCGGATGACTTAGATGAAGAAAGTGTGATTTTAACATTTGTCCCAGTTACAGAGGAGCCTGGTGAAGAAGTTATACAATCCAGTGTTCCAACAGCAGACAATCTCAACCTAGAGACACCGAAGAATAACAAAGATCTTCCACAAACAAATGACATGAACAATTCCTCGAGAACTCGTTGGAAAAAGCCCGTGGGTCCATTGCCTGCTGTCTTGCCTCCTATTACTGAGGTGTCTCGTGATGCCTTGCGTAACTGGTGCCAACAATTTAACCTGAGTACAGACGGCCAGAAAATAGAAGTGTATTTGAGGCTCCTGAAGCGTAGATATCCCGAACAACAAAATTATATTCCCAAAACATCAAAGGAGGCCAGAATGATGCCATATTCCAAGAACAACTATAAGAGGGAAAGAAGTCGGCAGAAAAGAAGTAGTATAAGTGAAAAGGCCAATACACGCAGGGACACTGTTGGAAATGAGTCTGGCCTAGAATTGAAAGGTAATATAGTAGAAGTAGTAACTTCTGCCCAAGCATCTATGTTGGCATCTTGGGCACGAATTGCTGCAGAAACTCCTGAAGCCAAGACAGTGAAGTTTTGTCCTACTGAGTCAACCATAGAGACATTTTTGCTGCCGGCCCCTGGTGTCAGGTGGTGCGTAGTCCATGGCAGACTTCTCCCAGCAAATGGGAAGGGATGGGTGCGCCTGCAGTTTTGTGCAGGTCAGACCTGGGTCCCCAACTCTCGCAAGACAATGATTTCTCTCTTCCTGTTACCAGCCTGTTTATTCCCAACCCCAGGACTAGAAGATAATATGTTATGTCCTGAATGTGTCAAAAGGAATAAGAAGATGCTGAAAACAATTAATTGCAATAGGAGATAAAAGAAAAAGGCATACTTTGGGAGACTACCATCCATCTCAAATATACTACCTTCAAGATGTTAATTTATTTTGGTGTGAAGGCAAATAAGAAGAAACAAAGGCTTTCTGCTTTTTTACCATCCATCTCAAATATACTACCTTCAAGATGTTAATTTATTTTGGTGTGAAGGCAAATAAGAAGAAACAAAGGCTTTCTGCTTTTTCACAAAACAGGATATATGTTTGCAGAATTTCCTCCTCCATCTCTACCAGGACAACTGGCTTTGAGTCTGCAGATAATCTCCTGTTCTGGGTCCTAGCTAAGCTCCTAACTCCTAGAGTGAGTTTTAGCTATTATAAGAAACAGCTGTTTTGTTTTTGTTTTCTTTCTTTCTTTTTCTTTTTTCTTTTTTTTTTTTGCCAGAACTGAAGTTTGAATTCAGGGCCTCAGGCTCTTGGCTTGGCATTTTTGCTCAGGGCTATTTTCTACCACTTGAGAGCCACAGCTTCACTTCTGGCTTTTTTGGGGTGGCTAATTGGAGATGAGAGTCTCAGGGACTTTTCCAGCTCAGGCTGGATCCGAACTGGGTTTCTAAGATCTCAGCTTTGTGTAACTAGTATTATAGCCAGGAGCCACGCACCTGCTTAATTAATAGATTTTTTTTTTAGCAGTTTCATGTTTACAAGAAAAGTATAAGTACAGGATTTCCATATACTCCTAGATTCTCCTGTTTTTAAAATCTGATGGAACGGAACGTTCGGTATAGTTGAAGAGTCAACGTAGACATGTTTGAATCTAAAGTTTTTAGATCAGTGAGGGCTTGGTGCTCAGCTACAAGCCCTGCATGCAGGAGGATTTCATGAGTTCAAGGCTGCCAAGGCCTACATAGTAAGAACCTTGTCTCAGAAATAAAGAAAAATATGTCTATAGTTTATAGCTTATTGTCTAATTTTTGTTGGATTTTTTCAAGCTTGTATTTTTTAGGGGTAAGGAAAATTATTTTATTATTATTATATTATTATTATTATAGAGAGAGGAGGATTTAGGTTTTGGTTTGGTTTGCTTTTTTTGGTTGTGGTGCTAAAATTCAGCTCCTGGGAGCTGTCTCTGAGCCTTTTTGTGCTCAACGTTAGCACTCTACCACTTGTGCCCACAGCTTTACTTCTAGATTTTGAGTGGTTAATTAGAGATAAGAATCTTGGGGAGTTTTTTTTGCCCAGGCTGGCTTTAAACCGTAATCTTCAGATCTCAGCCTCCTGACTAGCTAGGATTACAGGCATGAGTCACTGGCACCCAGCAGAGAAGAGGATTTCATTGCTATATTTCTACATATGTTTACAATATATTCCCATCAATCTCATCCCCTGTATACCTTCTCTACCGTTACCTCTTTTCTAGTCCCAACTTCTGGGACCATACAGCATGTATGTTTATCTGACCATGTGTACTTATTGTCCATGTGTTTTCATGGATTTCTTTGGTTCTGAGTATTACCTTATCTGATGTGCACAGTTTATGATTCAAGTACTAAAAGATCCTTGGGGGCTTCCAAGTTTGGCAGCATTTATTTTGCTTTGTTCTGGCTTCGGTTTACAAAACTACAGTCTATTTTCCAACTTGTAATTTTCCTGCCTCAGCCATCTCTAGTGCTGAGATTACAGGTATAAAGTACTATATCTGGCAAAACTTTGGCAATCAAAAATAAAGTTGGTAAAAAAAAAATGTGAACACCTTTGGGAGAAGTCAGTATTTTGCATGCTACACTGGTCTAACCACATTTGTTTTGTGCCTGTAAAAGCATTTTTAAAGTTAATCATATCCAGGCACCAGTGGCTCACACTTGTAATTCCAGCTATTCCAGAGGCTGAGATGTGAGGATCACAGTTTGAAGCCAGCCTGGGCAGGAAAGTCCATGAGATTCTTATTTCCAATTAACCACCCAAAAGCAAGAAGTGGAGCTATGGCTCAAGTGGTAGAGTGCTAGCCTTGAGCAAAAAGAAAAAAAAAGCATAAAGACAGTGCTCTGGCCCTGAGTTCAAGCCTCAGGGTGGGCACAAAACAAAGACATTAATTAATTAATTGATTGATTGATTAACTAAAGTATATTAACCACCATTGATCATGTTTAAGATATACCATTAGGAAAGTAGTTCTAATTTCACAAATTTAACATGGCAATAGGATATTATTTTTTTATAATAATGACATTTGTCTGCCTCTGCTTTTGACCAGGACTATCTGAGATTAATGAAGTTGAACACACTTTCAGTAGCAAAACAACTCCTAGTAAAGCAGGTGAGGGTAATCACCAGCAAATACTGTGAATGCCAGACAGATGCAGCCTATTTCAATGTTTGAGGGAAAAGAGAAGCTGTACCTGGAATATTTCCAGCCCAGGGAATCCAAGAACAGGGTCATATCATTTTTCTCCAAGTTTCCCCAAATACCTGGAATTCTCTCTAACTTTATAGGATTAAAGAATATAAATTGATATTATTACAAACCATATTCTACCTTTTGGAATCCACTATTTAGACATGATGGCCAAGCTTTGTTTCCTTAAATCAAATTTGAAATAAATCTTAAAATTCACTTCACAATAAGAAAAAAAGTTTCCGAATGCCAGTTGCTTACCCTTGTAATCACAGCAATTCAAGATGCTACAATCTGAGGTTCACAGTTCAAAGCCAGACTATGAGGAAAAGTCTGTGAGACTCTTGTCTCCAATTAGCCAGCAAAAATGCAGAAGTGGAGCTGTGCACTAAAAGCCTAGTAAAATCCAGGTGCTGGTGGCTCACACCTGTAATCCTAGCTATTCAGGAGGCTGAGATCTGAGGATCTCAGTTCAAAACCAGCCTGGGAAGGAACATCCATGAGATTCTTCTCTCCAGTTAACCACCAGAAAAACTGAAGTGGTGCTATGGCTCAAGTGGTAGAGCACTTGCCTTGAACTGAAGAGCTGAGGGACAATGCCCTGGCCCAGAGTTCGAGCCTCACAACCCACACACATACACACACACACACACACACACACATACACACACACACACAGCCAAGTGAGAGCCCAAGGCTGAGCTCAAGCCCCAGTACTGGCACACACAAAACAAAATTTTAAATTTAAAATTAAAAACAGAAAAAAAAGAAAAGAAGAGGAGAGGAAGAGAGAAGGGAAAAGAAAGAAAGAAAGGGGAGGGGAAGGAAGTAGACATACAAAGACAGAAAGAAAAATATGTTATTTTCATTAAAAAAACAAAAGGCAGGGACAATTTATAAAATTATTTCATGAAAAGCCAGCTAGGTGACTATAATCTTTCAGGATAGATAAGCATCAAGACTATTCTTCTATAGTTACTTCTTTTTTTTGCTTTTTCTTTTTTTTTATTGTGAAAATACTGTACAGAGGGGTTACAATTACATGGGCAAGATAATGAGTACATTGCTTATCAAGCATTGTAGACTCCTCCTTTGTTTCCCCTTCCCATCCATTCCCATCCTCCCCCCCCCCCCCCACCCAATCCTCCCCACTCCCTCCCCCCCCACCAAAGTTGTAAAGTTCTGTTTTCGACATAACAACTTATACGTCTCATTGTTGTAATGGGTCCACCTGTATCCCTATTTAAACGATTTGTTTTTCCCCTTCCCCTCCACAAATTATACCAACATGAAATACAGTGAAAGCAGGGATTATACTGTGGGGGAGGGACATACAAAGCAACAAAGAAATAATCTTATAAATGTGTTAGAAACAATCGCATGAAAGAAAAAAAACACATTTGATGAAAGTATAGTCTTTATAGTTACTTCTTTTAGCTGTGAAAAATTCTAAGGGACAGAACGCACTGCAGTACTCTAGTCAACATGAGTGCTAGCCTGTCACCTTTGTCACGTGCATTGTGGTGATTTATGCATTTCAACAATTGCAAATATATGATGTAGATTGCTAAACTGAGTATTATCTCTATTTCACAGAATGAAGCCTAGCTTTTTTAATGTCTTCAAAGTTAAAAGTATAAGCTCAGAGCAAAATAAACTTAAAGTGAGTCTCATGTAATATATGTGTGTATGTATAATGAGCATATGTATATAATGTACATATGGATATGTGTACATATATATATAATTTCTCATCTAGCCTATTAAACTTAACCCTTGTCAGAAGATAAAATTCTTTTATCTAAAAGATTTTTTAAATAAAGTAAATTTTTCTTCCAAAAAATTAAGCAAGTTTTTCTTTCATTTCTACTGTAAAATTCTTCCATCTTCTAATAGCCAATAGTATATCAGCATATAATATTCAAGGTAAGTTGGTTAGCTGATTATAAAAAGCATATAGATACTGCACAAAATTTACACATACCTCATGCTGCCTGAAAATCTAAAATACTATTACTTTAAGCTACCTGAAAGTAGTCAAATCTTATGTATTCAAATCCAATTAGTTACACAATTAGGATATAATAATATACTACAGAGTATATCTGTAGTTAAATTCTTGTTTAAGAAATATTCCTCAAAAATTAATATGATTCCAATGGCAATCTGGGATCCTAAACATGTTTCAGTGTCATCATTTTGCACATCTATTTCCACTGGAAAATACTTCATAAATACTATGGTGCCATTAATACTTACGGTCAAAGTGTTAACTTACATGTCTGATGAGAAATCACACCACTTTCAGACAGCTTACTCTGAATTGGCACAGAAACTCTTGTGTTCCGTTTCCACACGTAGAAATCTACAATCCTTTCTTTCTTAACTGTGGGAAGAAACCACATGAACAAAAGTCACTTTTCCTAAACTAATCAGAGAACTAACACTACAGAATAACTCAGCAGCCAGCTCCCCAGAGAAGGACCTGTGACCATGTCAGATGGGATTGAGGACAATCTTGCCTCTGCAGAGTGCAGGAGGCAGAAGAGACTCTCCCATTTGAGTGGGCAAAAGGAATCTATTTGAGTCAGTGCTGGAAACACAAGGGAGTTCCCATACCGTTTGTGGATTTTTTTTTGAGGTTCACCTGGTAATGTCAGAGGTCAGATAGTAGAGTGGAGAGAGTTGCCTTTGCGATTTAGGCAAGAAGAAAGCATCAG